AGAAGCTGTCCAGTTGGTGGACCTTTCCTGTCCTCTGCTGTTCAGCTGCAGAGATGTCCCAGCTTCTACAGAGACATCAGGACCAAGATACCTAATCAAAATCAGTCCACTGCTGGCATGTGTCTTGTTGATGCCACGGGCATTGGCACAGCAGGTACAATGTTGACAGTTGCCATTGTCCCACAGGCACTGGTGACTTGAATGTCATAGAGAGAGGATTGCCAGAGCTGCAGCCCTGTGCCAGATGAGGCCAAGGTGAGTGAGATGTTGTTTCAGTTTCTGCTACTTGGAAAAAGTCTTTCCGGAAGAAACATGCTGGGGTTTGCCGTAGGTGGGGAAAAACATCTGGTTTTCATTCTCTCTTTGCCTTTGAGTGAAAGAGGATTACAGTAGAAGTTGTCCAGTTGGTGGACCTTTCCTGTCCTCTACTGTTGAGCTGGAGAGGTGTCCCAACTTCTGTAAGGACATCATCTTCTGGCATCTGCCTTGGTGAAACCATGGGCATGGCACAACAGGTAAAGTGTTGACAGTTGCCATTGTCACACAGGCACTGGTGACTTGAAGGTCATAGAGAGAGGATAGGAAGAGCTGCAGCCCTGTGCCAGATGAGGCCAAGGTGAGTGGGATGTTGTTTCAGTTGTTGGTGCTGGCAGGATGGACTTTGAGGAAGGTAAAGGCTGGGGTTTGCCATGGGCACCGAAATTCATCTGTTTTTCATTCTCTCTTTGCCTTTGAGTGCCAGAGGCATACAGGAGAAGCTGTCCAGTTGGTGGATGTTTCCTGCCCTCTGCTGTTCAGCTGGAGAGATGTCCCAGGTTCTCCAAGGACATCAGGACAAATATATTTAACCAAAATCAGTCCAGGCTGGCTGTATCTGTGGGCATCAGCTGCTGGCATGTGCGTTGGTAAAGCCTTGGGCGTGGTACAGCAGGTACAATGTCTACAGTTGCCATTGTCACACAGGCATTGGTGACTTGACTGTTGAAGACAGAGAGTAGCAAGAGCTGCAACCCTGTGTCACATGAGGCCATGGTGAGTGGGATTTTGTTTCAGTTGCTGGTGCCGGCAGGATGGGCTTAGAGGTAGGTAAAGGCTGGGGTTTGCCATGGGTGGGGAAACACATCTGATTTTCATTCTCTCTTTGCCTTTGAGTGCCAGAGGCATACAGGAGAAGCTGTCCAGTTGGTGGACCTTTACTGCCCTCTGCTGTTCAGCTGGCGAGATGTCCCACCTTCTCCAAGGACATCATGTCAAAGATACGTAACGAAAATCAGTCCAGGCTGGCTGTATTTGTGGGCCTCAGCTGCTGGCCTCTCCCTTGGTGATGTCATGTGCATGGTATGGCACAGCAGGTACAATGTTGACAGTTGCCATTGTCCCTCAGGCACTTGTGACTTGAAGGTCATAGAGACAGAATAGAAACAGCTGCAGCCCTTTGCCAGATGAGGGCAAGGTGAGTGGCATGTTGTTTCACTTGCTCTCTAACCCCAGGAGGGTTAGAAAGTAGGCATTCTTTTATGTCAGTTCTGGATGTGTGGGCACAACTATGTAATAAAGTCACTTACAAATGAGGTGAATTCAGTATTATGATTTAAAAAACACCTTTTTTTTGGTCTCAAGTGTGGTCTTTTTTACTCAACTCCTGCAGTTTTATTTATTTGATGCCTAAACTTGGGCTTTACACTGTAATAAATAGTTCTCTTGCATGGGCATGCTGTACCATTAGACAGCCAGACACTTCTTTGAGGAGGGGTACAGCAAACAGACAGGAGACTGCATGCACAAGTAACGTAAGTTCTGGCTGAATGTAAAATAGAACACGCTTCCAATGCAACGGGCCAGGCCCAGGAAAGAGATGCCCAGAGACTGTGCAATTTCCATCTTTAGAGCAGTTCAGAAATCATCTAGACAGGACCCTGACCAATTCCATCTAGCCAACTTTGAAGTTAGCTCCACTTAGAGCAGGTATTTGGTCTACATAACATCCAGAAGTCCTTTCTTAGAGCAGGTACTTAGTCTGCATAACTATGAGTCTAATTTTTTTTTTTTTTTTTTTTGGTCCTGCTTCACAGCTGAGCACAACTGAGCTCTGCAAAGCTTTCCTGAGGAAAAAATATTCATATATACAGAAATACTCTTCTCCTGTAAGTAATGAAATGTCACTTGACTGTTTTTTAGTAACTACAGCCCCTCAAAAAATAATGGTGCTAGGAATGCTGTTGTCTACTGTGGAATTTGCTAATGTTCCAAAAACTGATAATTTGACTCTGTTTTTTCTGGCTGAGGTGCTTCTTGCTCAAGTTGAAGCTCAGTTTTAAGTTCCAGTTGTCCTGCTTTTCTAGGATAAACAGCCTTCCTAGGATGAGATATTTCTCTTCAAAGATCCAAGACTGCTAAGAATAAGAACAAGGACTGACATCCTTGACATGAGGGTACAAATCCAAATCAGTAACCAATTAGGAGAGACTATGTGCCCTTGTGCACAAACATAGACAAAGTGAAGAGTGGGATATCTCCCTTTGGCAACTGAAAGCTACTGAGGACACCCCTGTGAGTGCAGAAGATTTAAATACGTTGTGCAACCTTGTACTTGTATAATGCTATGCACATGTAATAGGTAGGTGTGACTAATGTATTAGATAGGCATACAGTGAAAACTTTTTGATTATAAATAGAAGCCAGTGTAAAGTCTTGGTTTGCTTGATTTTGAGTGTATTCCACTGTGTGCCCTGCACAGACTAAGTCAGTGTCTCCTCTCTAAAGAACTGTCTTTTTGAATGTGTTTCAGGAGATTTAAAATTGAGAACAGATTTACAAAGTATCTTGCCTAGGAATGTTTAAAAGAATTAAAATAGACTGCCATTAATAAAGAAGCAACATATATTTCCTTCTGTAGACAGCATTCCTTTTCTGCATTTTCCTGGGCTCTCATTAGGCTCAAGTTGTAAACAGGAGTATGTGTCCCTCTGTAGTGTCAACCATGTTATCTGATGAGAAAAGATAAGTCTTCCCCTGTATTCACAGCGCCATATCTTTTTCACACCAGTCACACTGTTCTACTCTGAATTGCATAATGCTAGGGACATGGATTCATCTCAACTGGTAACAGCATGAGATACAGAGAAGAATACGAACCAGTGAATACAGTTAGTATACATACAGTATGTAACTATAAATCAGGGAGCATTTGGGGTCATTTTAGATGCAAGAGATACTAAAAGTTTTTAGTTTTCAGCCTGGACTCTGTTGTGCATGAAACGTTTTGATATAATGAGAGGGACAGTCAATGGGGATGTAATGCTAAGTACTCCATAGTAAGTGACTTGCCAGTATCTGTGTGCCCATGCTATACTTTGCAGGACTATATGTACAACAAATCAAGGAGTAAGGGAGGAAATGGGCCATTTTTCTGGAGAATGCTGATACTTCGATTCAAAATACTTTGTCTGTTTCAATGGGGAATGGGCAGATTAAAACTGCCCATTTGGCATATTAAAAAGTGATTATGACTCTCTTGGTCAATGAGATCAGCAACTCCCTCAGTGAAGTAATTGGAAAAATACAGAAGTTAGACAAACTTAGAGAATAGTGCCTCCAGGGAAGCACAGAAACCAAGGTATGCTCAATGATTTTAAGGAAAATGAAAGTCAAGTTTCTCAAAGGGAAGTGCTTACAGCTTTTATGAAAGATGGTTTGTCTTGTGATAAGACTGATGGCATTCCAACTAATGTACTGTGGCAAATATACAAACAGGGAGGGCTGAATAAACATAATAAGAAAGTGCAAAATTCTAAAGGAACAGGTCCAGGAGAAATTCAGCCGTCAGCACCTCCTCTGAAGCCTTAACATGATTTTACACCTACTCACAGAGAACTACCTGTGAGTAGATTGACTGTTCCAGTGAAAAGGAGGATTGGGAGCTGTTTTCTGACTTGTATACTTGGAAAGACACTAGGGAAATAGTTCAGCATAATAAAAAGGACTGAAATGATGGCCAAGCTCTGCTGCAATGAGCATGGAAGGACCATCAACCCCATGTGGACTTTTAAATATTTTGGAAGAACTGTTTCTCCCAAATTGCAAAAAGCTTAACTGATACTGGAGTGGAGGCCTCCTTAGTATATGGAAACCCTAAGAAATTTTAAGGACAACCTGTAATTATTATAGGCTTGGGAGGGAAACAAATTGAAGCTGTGAAAATACAAATAGAAATGAAAATAGGGAACCTCCCACAACGGTTACATCCTGCTGTGATCATTAAGGTCCTGGAATATATAATTGGAATAGGTATTTTGAAGGGACTGATCTTGAATCTCCCTGATAGTCAGTATCAATTTCAACTAAAGAATTATATTAGTGCCGAAACAATTTAAAATGCCACCTAAATAAATTCCTGATATAACTAAATTAATAATCATGAAACAACACAGAATAACAGGAGGGCATGAAGAGATATTATATACCATCAAGGCATTTCATAAACCACAACCACTGTTTGGAATAATCCAGTGAGGCCGGTAAAGAAAAGTGACAGAACCTGGCAAATTCTGCAGACTGTAGAAAATTAAGCCAAACTCCACTGCTTGTCATCTACAGTGCCAGATATTATTACTTTGATCAAAATAGTACAAATGCAAATAATTCATTATATAGATGATATACTGATTCAGGGAAACCATGAAGAGGAAATGCAAAAAATACTGGAAGTGGTAGTGGGTCATATGAAAGACTGGGAAATTAATCCTGCTAAAATTCAATGGCCATCCTGAAAAGTGATCTTTTTAGGAATTCACTGGCATCACCAGCATCTGGAAATATTACTGGTAGCTTGACAGAAAATTTTACATTGCGTATTGCATTGATCACGTATCGCATCACTCAATGTATTCATGGTCTGTTGAATTTATAAGAGTTCATGGTATTCCACCTTGAATCAAAATGGTATGAAGGCATATCTTCTTTACATTATCTGAATGAAATAATGCAGTGTTTGAGGCATGCACTCAGACATGAATGATCTAAATAATCTATTACATGTTCTAACATCCCTTACACAAGTGTTCTCTTCTAGCTTTCCCACCCATCTTTATTTGTGAACAAAACAGTTGACAAACACTTCTTAACTGTGCACACAGATGCTTACCCAGAGCCATGAGTTGTTCTGAGCCAGCTGCTCCTGCAACAATCTGGGTCATCATCATGCAGCCATCATGCAGCTTACTTGACTTCAGATTTCTCTTCTTCTGGAAATATCCCCGGCTCTTAGCGTTGCTTTCTCATGCTGTTTATCTTTCTCCACAACTTCTGCACTGATAGTTTTACCTGTATTCCCCAAAAATAACATCCTTTTTAACATAGCATTAAAAGGCATCAAAGGGAAAACGTTTTATAAATTGCACATACTGCTCATCTATTTCAATATTAATTTCAGGACTCTAACGACCTTCTTGCAGAAGAAAATCAAGACCTTTAATTGAATAACCTTGGGTTCTCATTTTCTAACAGAGCTTATTAGATTCCTTATAGTTTTTACATTACCTGTCTTTAAAATAAATGTGTTAACTAGAATCAGTGGCTTATCCTCAGGGGTTGAATTAGAACAGATCATTATGGTGTTACCATGACAATTATTTCTCATTTTTATCATGGGATCTTTACCTATCGTCCAAAACTACATTTGCTAAGTACTGCATAAACACACATCCAGAACAAAAATGTAAAAATGCATAGCTTGTCCCTCAGTTTCAGTCTGCAATACAGCATTTTAGTTTGCTTTTCCGCTCTCAAAGAGTCTCAACGAACTTTGTTATTTAAGCAGTCTAAAGTTCCATATTGAGAGGTAAAGAACTCTCAGGACAACACTTTTTTATACTTTCTTGAATGAGAAAGAGTGAGTTGCCCTTTTGTTTTAAGAGTTGAGAAATTGTTATCTACTATGAATTTGCTGATTTTACTATTATTTATTTTAGTTAAAGATGTGCTACTGTATTTTGTTGCTTATGACACAGTGAAGCCCTACAAGGCTATTAAAAGTTATCTCTCCTTGATGAATTTCATGCAGGAGCAAAACTGTACTTCAATGCACAGTTCACTACTTGTGAAGCCTTAGTTGAGTTCCACTGCTTAAAAAACTTATTCGTATTTTATGTTAAGTGCATAGAGTTTAGCACATCTGAACTGAATGAGTTTTCTAAGAATTTACATATATACACAAATTGAATAAGTGATTAAAAAGAACTAAAATGATTCCCAACATTAGTGTCTGTGTTAGCTGCTTCTTTGTATTTAATTATACAAACAGTAGAATAAAGCAGCCTTTTCTTATTGATAAAACCAATAGATGTTTTTTTAATACCTGAAGACACATTTAGTAGTTTCTATACTTACTTAAGTAAAATATCAATAGAGATCAACACCTCTGATGACCTTTAAAAGAAGTTGCAGGTTATAATGTTAAATAATGGCTGTTCTGCTTCTAAAGCCAACTTGTTAAAAAATTCTGCCAATCTTTGTACAGAGGAATAACAGTAAAGGATATCACCCATCATCTGATTACGATGTTCCATGCCTGCCTGCTTTCTGATATCCATGACTGCAGCTCTGTTCATGTGTCTGTGCTAGAGGGACACCTGGGGCAGCTCTAGCTCAACTGAAAATTGATGAACTGCTCATTGCACAAACTGGATTTTTTAAACTCTGCCAACAACCACTCTGCAAGTTTTGTTATGCTTGTATGTGTCTATATCTTGCATTACTTCATCAAAAGTCTTATTTGGTAAGTACTCAGACATATATTTTTCAGATGAGGAAATATTACTGATTGTATTTCAGTGCTGTTGGTTTCTGAACCAAGACTGCTAAGCTTTTTTTTCTCTTCTTTGAACAAAACAGAAGCTAACAAGGATGTTTCGCATCTTTGGAAAACTAACAAGTTACTGCCACTGCTGACATTGAGAACATAATCTGCAAGAATGCAGATGTGTTAGTCTGCCTGTCCTTCTGCAACCCCTGTACAGTTTCCTGTAGCATTCTGGGGCAAACTAAAACAACTCCGAAATATTTTTTTTTTTTTTTGTGACAGTAACTCAGATTTTTTACCTGACTGATCTGCAATTTGAAAGTTCAGAGAAACTGCATTAAAAGAAGCAGCTTTGGCGAAATTCTTAACATCTCCAAGGCTCTCAAACTATCTTTAGACTTTTTACTAGTGCCTTCAAGACCTCAGCTTGAAGACAAGTAAGTGAAATATTTAGGTTTTTTTTCCTGCATAAATCTGAAAACATGTGAGACTAACACAGCTCCCTTGAGTGCATATACTGATAAAAATTTCTAACTTCGTGGACCAGCAGGATTGCCAGCTGGCACAAAGGATGGACTCTAATGGAACAGATAAGCTTTTTGCTATACTAATGTCCAGATAAAGTCCAAATACACGACAAATCAGAAACTCTCATGCATTGTCCATGCTACATTGCATCTACTGACATGTCAAAAAAAAGAAAATCAAAACTCAAAATATTCTGATGGGGCTTCTGAAACCACCAGTAAAAACAGTAACATATAAAACAAGAACCAATAAAGAGTACAAACTGCATATTTATTCCAAGTGTTATTAGAGTCTGAGAAATCTTGCTCAAATCTCAAATTTTATCATGGCAGCAAGTCTTGAATCGGATTTCCTATTATGAATTCATTTTCTTTTACCGTATTAGTAAGAAATACCAGTTCACTACCTTTTAACATGAGGCTATTTTTACAGATTAAGAATACATGATTTATTTCTTTTAAATGATTCTGAAGTATGTGTCTTGAATTATCACGTCAC